TTAATTGCCTGTCTAGAGGCCAGTCTGAGCAGCTGATGTCTCATTCTGCTTATCTTCAACTGAGTTTCTTTTTATCCTGACAAAGGACTGTCTTGTGGTTCTAGAATTCTGATATTTTAGTTCTTTCCTCTCAGTTTTCTCTGAGTGTTATTTTATTTACTTATTATTTTTATTTTATGTACATGCATGTATTGCCTGCATGCATGTAAGTGTATCCATGTCATGCAGTGCTTGTAGAGGTCAGAAGAGGGTGTCAGATTCTCTGGAACTGGAGTCATGGACAGTTGTTAATTGTCATGTGGGTGCTGAGAACTGAACCTGGGTCCTCTGCAGGAGCAGCCAGTGCTCTTAACCACTGATCCATCTCTCCAGCCCCTCTGAGTGTTATTTTAATGACCTCTGGATTCCTAGGTTTACGTAAAAAATATAATGGCCATGTGACTTTATTCTTGAAATTTTTATTCATTATAGATACCCTGCCCTGAGGAGCTCAGGAATGTTTGGGGGTTTGTTTTACTTCCATTGGTCTCACCTAGAGGCTCTTCCTGCTATGATAAGAAACGTTCTTGGGTGCTCATTGCTCCTTCTCAATAAGCTTTTACCTCTTTTTCTTGTTTCCTGTGATTTGCAGACTGTCCTTTGGTTTTATCTTGTAAGGCTTTAATATTTTCTCTGATTTTTTTAAAACTTCTACATTTTGGTAGCTTTGTGTGTGCTTTCTTCTTTATCTATTTTTTATTCTTTTTTCCTTTGATTCACTTAGCCTAATTTAAGTTTCAAGAAACACTTTCCTTTTTCAACTTATCTACTAACATTTTTAGTGCACACGGTAGTTAATTTTACGTGTGAACTTGATTGTGTGCTGATGGTCAAATACTAGTCTAAATTCTGCTGTGAACATATATATATTAGCATATAGGGAAGTGAGTATATACGTGTGTGTGTGTGTGTGTGTGTGTGTGTGTGTACATGTAGGTTAGAGGTTGATGTTGGGTATGTTCTTCAATCAACTGCTCCCTTATTTTTTTGAGACAGGTTCTCTCACTGAACTTGGAGTTCCCCATTCAGCTTGACTGGCTGACCAGCAAGCCCCAGGGATCCTCCTGTCTTCACCACCACAGTGTAGGGATTACACATGTGCACTGCCACACCTGAACTGTTTAATACGAGTGCTCAGGATCCAAACTCAGATCCTTTGCCAGCTGGGCCATCTCCCCAGTGTGAACATAATCCATGGTATATTGTGGCAAAATATGTAAAATATTAGATACACCTATTCAAATCCCTGAAGAGGCAAGTTTATAACTGTTTTGGTACCTTACAACATTTTTCTTTGTTTTTAAAAACCAAACTAGTGAATACATTGAGATTGGCTAGTTCTCTTAATTATACTAGTTAAAGTTGAAAAAAAAAAACAATTTCAGGGGCTCAATTTCCCATCGCAAGCACTACATAAATCACGCGGAAATTCCTTTTTGCTGTGAAGGACATCTTTATATCCTATCACTGCAAAGCTGGAGTTGCTGAAATAACAAATCCAGAGTCCCATTCTGCTGAGAGCTGGATTATGATGCAGATTGAATCTCCAGTTTACAGGCCCGACTGCTGTGAAGGCATTGACTGAGGAGGAATGGTATCTTCCCAATTGGACAGGAGACAGGAGAGGTGTCTGATGAAGGTAGGCACATCGAACCCTCCGATGAATCTTCTTGGCCAGCAGCAGCAACCATTCCACCCTCATGGAGGAGGTTAATCCTGCTTTACCTAAAAAATCTTATCACCTCCCTTGGATTTGTTATCTTCAGGCTATGAAAGGCAGTGAGAAGGGCAGCTCATAAGGAGCATGTGCGACGTGATCTTTCCAATTTATACTGACAAAAACCTGAGGAATAGTTGTGGGATTGTATTTAGGAAAATGCTGGAAGAAACATAAAATTGGGTCAACTTGAATTTATTGATCTGGGACTAATAAGAGACTCTGAATTTAGTGCTGTAGTTTGAGGGACTGTAAAGGACTCTCAGAGTGTGTTAGTCGGTTAGCTAAAACATGGACTAAAAGGTGTTCTACTCTAAAGGAAGGTGAAATGTTTGAACTTTGCTGTTCCAAGGAGGAAGACATCCAACATTTTAGAAACACTGGGGTATCTGAAGGGATTTATCACTTAAGACCTGTTCATCCATTCTAGGTGGGTCCAGAAGATCTTTCTCATAACTGCGAGGAATCTATTTGTAAAGGAAGTCTCAGCAGCCTTCTGAAACTCCATCACCTCTGCAGATCAAGCAATTTCTGCCAATGAATTAGGAAGTCAAAACAGTGAATATAATTAGATCAAGGAATGACAGGTCCAGAGTCAGGCAAAAGTGGATATAGCCAAAGGAAAGGTGGATATAGATGATAGACTACAGAGTTAAATCAGTAATCAGACTGGCCTGACCTATGGAGACCCACAGTGTTAACTAGTCATTGTGTTTCTAGGAAAGGCCGAGTGGAAGTTACATACTCTGAACAAGCTGAACACTTCTGGGTGAAGTGTACAAAATTCTAACCTTTCAGAAGCAGAATTATGAACTCTCAATTATTTCTCAAACTTGTTCCAGTCTATGGACCCAGTATACCTTGAACGGTTTGGAGGCCAAGCTTTTTTGGAAACGATGCCAGTGCGAGCTCACCCTCTAGGTGAGTTGCAGTGCAAGCTTTCAGATTTTGGAGCAAAGTCCTGCCAACCCTCTAGGAACTTCTCTCCTTTCGGGAATGAAGCTTTCTGCTTACTGTTCCACTGTAGTGGAGCAGAGGCTGCTTAGTAGAGAACTAAGTAGAGATGGCTTTGCTCTGAACCACGAAGCCATCAAGCGGAGTAGGCACGACAGTACTTAATCACCAGATGGAAATGGTAGATGTGAGCTTCTGCTTGAACAGGCCCTGAAGACATAAGGAAGTTACATGAAGAAGCTGCCTAAATGCTCATGCCACACTGCCTCTGTCCCCAGCTTGGATCTATGTTCTTAGGAGGAGTTCCCTATGATCAGCTCACAGGAAGGAAACAAGACTTGGGCTTTGATTCTGTATGGTTCTGTATTATTTTCAGGTATCACTTTTTTGTGAGTTCTAGAAAAATTCCTTAAACCATTTTTCCAAATGTCTTAATTCATTTTCCTGTTTACTTCCTACTTTATGGGTTTGAATTGAGTAATTATAGTTTTTATGTGAAAACAAGTTTTGATTAAATTATTTAATTTCACACATTTAATCTACTTTTCCAAAATTAAAACTACTTATATAAACTAATACTCAGGGCTGGAGATATGGCATTGGTTAAGAGTGCTTACTGCTCTTTTAGAGAACCTGAGTTCATTTTGCAACACCTACATTGGGTAGCTCATAACCACCTATAACTACAGCTTCATGGGAGCCAGTCACCTTGTTTGCCCTCCCCAGGTAATCATGTGCAAAAGTGTACACACACACACACACACACACACACAATTAAAAATAAAAATCTTTAAAGTAACAATATTTAGATGACAAAATAACCTCTGATAACAGTTTGATGAATATGTTCTAAGTCATTATTGTATGTCACATTTAATTTCTGTACCTATATAGGAATATGTAGGACAAAAGATATCTAATACTGTTGCTATCTCCTTTATAATTATGTAACATGTGACATTAAACATAGATATATGTTATCGTTTCAAGTAATAAATGTCCTAAAGTTTACAATATAAATAAGAGTTTTTAAGGTGTTTTCCTTTTTCTAAGAAAGGGAGTAATTTGTTGTGATTTCTCAGATTGTTCTCCCATTTTGAAACATTGAGTCTTTCTATACTTCGCAATTTTTAAATTCATATTTTTAAAGAGGATTCTGAATGCTCTTTTGGATTTTGAGGAGGGCCCTGTCAGAATTCATAGTCCTTGTGTGGTTACCGATGGTCACGGCCTATTTGCTAAATGAGTGTTGCATGTCATCCTGAGCAATCAGGTCAGGGCATTGCTTGGCAGGGAAGGGCAGGTGCTATGTGCACCTCTTCTTTCTACCTGGCAGCACTGGTAGAACCCAAACCCCAGATGTCCCATGTGCAGTAAAGCAAGTCTATTATGGGCCAGAATGCTAGGCTTTTCCTTTACTACTTTTTATGACAGACTATGTTAGATAAGCCCCGAGCTATTTGGAGCAAATACTTTTGGTAGCATGTTTTTGCCACAGTTACTTTATTTTGATTGGTACACTACCATGCCCAGTGAAAGCTGGGGAAGAACGAAGCTGGCAGCCCTGTTGGAATGAGGGCAGTGGTGAAATTCCATTAATACTAGAATTTGCCTCCAAGTAACTATCACGGTCTGTTTCTTGAGCACTCTGGTGGCTACTGCTCTAGACCTACAGGCTTCCCAGGTTTGTAGGGGAGTGCGTTTCACTGCTGCCTCTGAGGGCTGCTTCTTTGCTGTATTCAGTTGCAAAGTAATAAACCTCTCCCTTGTTCTGCCACTACCTGTGCAGCACCTAACAGGGATCCCACCAGTGCTGGGTGGTGTGATGGCATTAAAATATGCTTTAAAATCCTCTGAATTGTGTATTTCTTAGATCCTGCTAATAGCTTTTCTGGAGGGAAGAATTGAAGCTTTTAGTCTTTTTGAAAAGAATCGCCTCTGCCCTCTTTTCTACTGAGTGAAGAAATACATGGAGTGGGGCCAGAGAGATGGCTCAGCAGTTAAGAGCACTGCCTGCTCTTGCAGAGGACCTGGGTTCGATTCCCAGCACCCACATGGTGGCAAACAAGAGTGTATAACTCCAGTTCTAGGGGATCTGATACCCTCTTCTGACCCCCTCGAGCATTTCATAACACAGGTGCACTTATATACATGCAGGCAATATACTCATACATAAACAAATTTAAAATGTTCAAAAAGAAATACATGGATTTACCTATGTGAAATGCTTTTGTGAAGTTTTGTATTGCATATCCCACTTTTCTGTTTTGTCATCAGATGTTTCTGTTTCTATGATAGATGATTCAACACGTGTTCCGCTTGGAAAAAGCAAGGACTACATCAATGCTAGTTATATTAGAATAGTAAATTATGAAGACGAGAATTTTTATATTGCTACCCAAGGACCACTTCCAGAAACCATAGATGACTTTTGGCAAATGGTTTGGGAAAATAATTCTAATGTTATTGCAATGATAACCAGAGAGATAGAAGACGGGGTTATCAAATGTCATTGTTACTGGCCTATTTCGAAGGAGCCTTTGGAATTGAAACATCTACGTGTCTTTTTGGAGCACTACCAGATAACTCAATATTTCATCATTCGAGTGTTTCAAATTGTGAAGAAGTCTGTAAGTTCTTAAAAACTACCAGTAGACAATATGTTTTATACTACAGGCAGGTGTGTTAGGACTAGGATGGAATATCTACGGAGGAGACACTTTTTAAAATAATGTTTTACTTCTTCCTAGTCTAGAAATTAAGCTATGATGTTTACTTCTGCTTACCCAAAGTTTGACTGGAGAGAAAAGAAAATTTAAAAGGAGAGAGTGGGGTGGAGAAAGGGAGTATCAGAGGTTTTCTGGTCCTGCAATCTTCTCCGGTGGCTTCTGCCAAATGCACTGAGTTTCTCAAGAGCACTTGTCTCTGTGCTAGGCACTCTTGATACTTATTGAACAATGAAAAGTTGATGTTCTCTGGTGCTTAGGTTGCTGTGCTCAGGGTAATGTCAAGATCTACGTGGGGTGCTTTGGGGGCTGAGGTGGGAAACACTTAGCATTGCCTAGAATTTGGGAAAAGGTTTACTAGAGAGAGTGTCACATCTGGATTGAGACAGACCTAGAAGAGAAAGAAAGAGGAAACAGAAAATGTAAAATATAAAAGAAAGATGAAACAGAAAATATAAAATATAACCCAAAAATAAAGCTGCCTGGGGTGCATATGTGGAAATATTAGTAAGTTAAATGCATCTGGGATATAAGTGCTCATTTTCAAGGAGTACTGAGAGATAAAGTGAGGTTATAGAGAGCGAACAGGCTGGCTAGAATGTGGAATGCCTTATTTCAGCAAAGGACTGTGAATGCTATAATAAAAGCTGAGCTTTGCAATAAAAATACTGAAGAATTTTAAGGTGGTAAGCATTGGGATGAAACACACACGGGAGGGTTTAAAATGAGTGCCCACCTTAAAAGATACTTAGGGCTTGTGACTCACAACACCAGGAGGGCTTCAAATATGCTGCTTCATATGGTAGCCACATGCAGCCTTCCAAGCCAAAATTTAAGTCACTGAAATATTGTGAAATGCAAAGGTCGGATTCCGACCTGCAGCAGCTGCATTTCTCGGGGCTGTTAATCATATTATGACTGGTGGCTACTGTTCCAGAAAATACAGACTCTTCTCAATGGGTCAGCCTGTTGTTTACCTTTAAGGACTCTGGAATTTTGCTTTTTCTGCACTTTAATGATGCAGAAGAAAGATGGCAGCTTGGGATTCAGGAGACGTAAGTTAAACACTCAGCTCGACACCTGTGAGCCTTCTGACACAGCATGTACCTTCCAGTCCTCCTAACCCTAATCTGTAACAATGAGGAGGAGATAGTGCTTGTTTCACAGGACTGATGTAAGGATCAAGAAATAATTCATGTGATGACCCTCCCACACTGTCTGGCAGGGAGTGAATGGTCAGTTCATGTTGCCTGTTTTATCATTATTGTGTTCTATGTAAAATAGAGAAAAGTGAATTTGGGAAACTTCCAGAATTTTTATAAACATCAAATCAGGTTTCAGAACTCTTTGAGAGCTCTATATAATATAGCTATCCACTGTATCCATCATTACTATTGTTCAGGTTTGTATATTAAAAATTAATGAGATCTCTAATATAAGAAATCAATGTATCTGTGTCTCTCTAACAGACCGGAATTAGTCACTGTGTAAAGCACTTGCAGTTCACCAGATGGCCAGACCATGGCACTCCTGCCTCAGCAGATTATTTCATAAAGTATGTTCGTTATGTGAGGAAGTGTCACATCACAGGACCCCTGGTTGTTCACTGCAGTGCTGGTGTAGGCCGAACGGGGGTGTTCATATGCCTGGACGTTGTATTCTGTGCCATCGAGAAGAACTACTCAGTAAGTGTTGTATCAAGCAGATAAACTGGTGGTATTTCTGAACACTGCTTTTAACATCCAAATAATATTGGAAGAATAGTATTTGGACTTCTGGAGCAACTTAGTAAATCCCAAATACCCCATCCTCACTTAACTGGTTGCATGTTCCTAGGGGTGATTGTAAGAATCAAGTGCATAATGTAAATTGACAGCTTAGGATAGGGTCTGGTGTAGTGGATTCTCAGTAACTTTGAGCTCATTTTCTGCCCCCTGTGTTCCACATGTGGTTTTGGGAGTCTGTTAGGCAATTTCAATGAAATGTGGCTGTTTTTAATGAACAGAGCTGTCATGCATGTGACTATGTTGAAAACTGTAGACCTCAGAGTTAGTAAGAGGTTTCTGGACTTAACTGCCAATTTTACCACAAACTTTAGATTTTAGTAACTATGTAAAGCTGTTCATCCTCTCTCAAAAATCAGTTTTATTATATAATACAGAACTATTTCTGGGTGAGTCAAGCATTAACAGTCCTGTACTTTTTGCTTAAACTTGGGTATGAGAGACACATAATTCGATATATGATGCTCATTCTAATTTCTTTACTGCTGACTAAACTGACTGGGAATGGGATTTTAGCTGTATGGCCCAAAGGCTTACTTACTGATTTATTTTGTTAAATATTTTGTTTTTATTTTATGTGTATGAGTGTATTGCCTGCATGTATGTAAGTGTACCTATGTCATGCAATGGTCACAGAGGTCCCCTGGAACTGAAGTTATGATGGTTGTTAGCTGCCATGTGGGTGCTGGGATCTGAACCCGGGTCTTCTGCAAGAGCAGCTTGTGCCCTTAACCACTGTGCCATCTCTCGGCCCCTTACTGATCTATTCTGTGCTGCAGAAATGAGGAGAGGAAGACATCCGCTGCATGTCCGGGCACTGGGGGAAAGTGGCTCACATACTGGCCATGAGGAATGTGAAAATTCGTACCTCAGTTGTGAGAAATCATGGGTTAATGAGACATTTGCTCTGGCAGGCATATTCCCCAGTTATTTTCCTATGCGACAAAATCAAATTGCTGCATTCTCAGACTTTGCACATCCGGACCCCAACAGTGGAGCTCTGCCCTGTGGTGGAAAAATGGCTGCTGTGGTTCCAATGTTCACCCTCAGACCACATCAAGGAGGGGGTAGAAAAATGGTCCCTAGAGGAAAGATGGATTTCCTCTTTTTCAGAAGCTCAGGCCCAAATCTCCTAGCATTTCGCTTTTCTGATTGCATGTTAATTCCTTCTATGAACTAACCATCAAAGGACAGACCTAGCCTACTTAGACCAGTCAGGACTATACAGACTATATGGCTAAGAATGAGAAAGCAGTTTTCCAAAGCAAATTCAGAATATCATTCTGAAGAATAAATACAATAAACTGACTAGTCAAAAAAAATGACACCCTAAAAATGCTGAAAATTCATCTAGTTTTGGTCTAATTGTACTTATAACCATAACTAACGTTGTCTAATTAGCATAATAACTCTAGCATATGTGTTATCTAACATAATTTCTGTGATTTGTGTGGTGTTTATCCTTGTTTAATACTCCTGTAGCAACCATAGAAGCTATAAATACTATCAAATCAAATCTAATGAGCACTGCTCTCCCCTCGCTTCAAATGTGTCTTATAACTGACCTTATATAAGTTTATTGGGCAATTTTTCCTTCCTAGTGATACATAAAATAATGCTGCTTTGACTTAGTTGAGGTTATAGCTCAGTGGTCGATGCTTGCCTAGCACGTGCAAGGTTCCATGTCCCATACAGAAAATAAAGATGCTTAGGGTTGATGAACTATTATGGCTAAAAATAATAGTTTCTTCATTGACTTTCCACAGAACCCCCAGCTATCAATATTTTTAAAAATACTTTTATTGCATTTTTGTGCATTCCATATAATAGATCTTAATCAAATTTAGACTCCCTCTCCTGTTCACATCCTTGAATAGCCCTCTCTCCCCTGGATTTCATGCATTCTGTCATAAATGTTAAGTCTTATCTGGTCAAGCTTTTGTCCCAAGATGTCCCTTGGTGCAAGTTCAGCCATTGTCTAGTCAGTCTATCTAGAGTCACTCCCTTAAAGAAGATCTACTCTCCCTCACCCAGCAGTAATCAATTGTCAATAGTTTTTGGCCATGTTGAATAGCATGTAGGCCAGTTTGCAATTCATATTTGTGCAATTCATATGAAGAGTCTCACTTGGTACCAGCTGTATACTAGTGTTGTGTTGCACAATAGCTATGATTTATGATATTTAAAGATTATTTTATCTAAAGATACAGAAATGTGAGACTATATAGCTATTTATATGTTTTTATTGTTATTTTGCAGTCAGTTTAATTTTTAATCAAATAAGGTTAAAAGTTTTGCAGAAACATCAAAAGTTTGTTTAGACATTCTCTGTAGAACTGTCTGTATCTTCAGCATGTCGTAACAGTTGTTAATTATCAGCTGATGTAATGAAGAGAATTGTCATTCATGAGGAGAATAATCTGAAATTCTACACATTTTCCTCTATGTAATTAAAATTTTCTGCAACAGTGCTAATCCCGTGTTCTGGTTGGCTTTTGTCAACTTGACACAAACTAGAGTCACCTGGAAAGAGGGAACCTCAGTTGAGGAGTTTTTTCCATCAGATTGACCTGTGGTCATGTCTCTGGGGCATTTTCTTGATTACTGAGAGATGTGGGAGGGCTGAAGGGCCCAGCCCACCATAGGAGGCGCCATCCCTGGCCGTTGACCTGGGCTGTAGAAGAAGGATGGCTGAGCAAGCCAGGGGAGGTAAGCCAGTGAGCATCGTTACTCTGGTTTCTGCTTCAGTTCCTGCCTCCAGATTCCTGATTGAGTTCCTGCCTTGACTTCCCTTAGTGATGGACTGTGATCAGGACATGTCCGCCAAATAAACGCTTTCCTCCTCAGGTTATTTTAGTTATGGTGTCTATCATAGCAAAAGAAAGCAAACTAGAACACTGCACTGTTTTATCTGAAAGGTATTGGGGTTTGCTTTTTTTAAACTTCTGGCATCAATTCCTTAATCTGTAGCTGTCTCATACTTTTTTTGGTCATTGTAACTTTACTGTCTGGCTATCATCCTACAAAATTGAAACAGCAAGTCACACCTTGTGACATAGTGCTTTGCATTTGCATTTTTGTTTAGACTTAATAAAAGAGTAATAAAAGAGAAAATTCTTTACCATGTCATGCTCATATCAAATGTATACTGAAAAGATCACTATTAGCGATATTTAAAATTTCATTAAATGCTGTGTTAAATACTCTTAAATTTTTGGAGTTTTCCCCTTAGATTGATGTCACTTCCCATCATTGCCTATATCCAAATTTATTATGCCACAGCATCATTAGAAAGTAACTGCCTTTTGTCATGTATGTACCAAAATTCCCAAGAAAAAAATCATTAGAGCAGTTTTGACCATTTTATTGACAATTAAGTGTGGTTTTTACTCTTAGGAGTTCAGAATACTAGTTTGCAAGACTAGTCATAGAGCATGACTCCTATGTGTGAGTCACTGAATACCAGCTTCTGGTAACTTTTAATGCTGTATTCTATCAAACAAACCTTTTGGTTTTGGATAAATGTGTTCTTATGAATGACAAGTAAGATAATGGTTCCTTTGTTTCATTAGCCAGCACAAATAACATGTTTGATTTTAGCACATCACAAATAATAATTAGTATAAAACAATATATGAAGAAACATAATTGGGGTAGACTCGGCGTAAGCTCTTTGGTCTTCATTTCTTTCAGTCACTTCTGTTGTCATTTTTTTTTTATTTAATAACAACATACTTAGAAGAAGCATATCATTACAACACAATTGACATATTCAATAACGTTTTCCTGAGGTAGGATGCATCTCTTTCAAATTTGGCTGTAAATTTTTAGGTTTACAGTTGAATTATTACAGTTATACAATATTGTACTCAGTATAAACCCTATAAG